ATTTGTAATTCATAAACTAACGGTAGGACCAGAAAATTTAAGGGTATAGACCGCGCGAAATGCGCAACACCATGGATCCCGTTTGTGTGACGCAGGATCAATTGGAKGAAACATTTTGTAGAAGAAGAAAGAAGCATCACCATTATCTATTCTTTCTCTGTTGAGTGTATGCTGCTGGAGTTTGAACATATTGAACTCACCCTTCCTTTCCTAAGAGAACAAATTGTCTCTTGTAGTACACTTTCTTGCAAACTGATTGTTAGGATCTTCAACTGTACCATCCCAAGTGAGATAATGAAARTTCCATCCAGTCTYGTTATGCTCTCAAACAGATTGCTTGCCAAGACCAGCCAAGCCCCYAGGAACTTCAACAGGCTTACACTCAGAAGAAATGAAATAGTKTCCTTCATACTACTACTTGCCAGACCCCRTCTCAAACTTAGGTCTGAAGTAWTATGCTGGATACCAACTGCMAGGATTGTCAACATCTRCACAGTCTTCATGTTCTCTCTTCTCTACCTTTGGATMCTTCCTCTGGTAATCTCGTGGGACCTTTGAATAATTCAGACTGTTATCAATGATAGTTCCATCCATCCAATAAAAATACTCAGTTTCATTAGGCTAAACAGAATYCTCATAATTGAAAGCTTCCTTCTGGCTCTGTGTGATTACATTGAGCATCTCTGTTTGCTGATGTTCCTCATTTCTCATTTCTGAATTATCTGAATCATAATTTAGCTTGATATCCTCCCAATGACACGGACATTATGSTAGCTTCAGCACAGGCCAGGACTCCTCTGTGTCCAACAATGGACACATAGTCACCTGGTTACTATTGTCATGAAGCAGTATTGGTACAGTATTGGATAGCAGGTAAATAGTATGATCACTAAGAATATATTTCAAATGCCAAAAATTGCCAAAAATTCTTCCATAGAAAAAATGATGTAGTTGGACTATCTGTTGGCACGCTTGGCACTTTTTACTACAGAAAAAAGGGGCCACAAATAYCCAATCTGTACCGTACATTTGCATCAAAAACTTGAAGAGAGGACCACAGTGTGGTATTGGTACTAGAGGAGATCCTACTACTGAGACTTCATATATGGTTTGCTGCCTAACTGGAGGATCACAAGCAAACTTGAGACAAAAATACTAATTTTTGGAGCTTCCAAGAAGTATAATTTCCCTGTAGAAATCCTGTAGAAAATTCAAAATCAAGGGTTACTGCTAGGCAAAATCAGTTGGTTTTATCTTCGCATGMAAACACCGTGTTACAATTAGCTTTGACTGATCATACTGGATGAAATCAAATGCCAAGAAGAGCAAGAATGCCCTTGCACAAAGACCTATAACAACACAAGGAGATTTACTAGGAGTGCTGGTAGGAATAGGACTATTGTAGTAGATAGCAGACATGAATCAAGGCACACAATTTCTTGCTAGCAATGATCCCTCCTATTTTGTTTACTAGGCTCCAAGAACCTTGTTCTTGCTACTACTAGGAGTATTAAGAACCTTGCTACTACTAGTATTACTACTACTAGTTGGTTATTTGATATTGTATTTGGCATGATAGAGTGCCCCTTCATTGTCAAGTTTCAATTGAGTGATTACTGCAACAGCTGCAACAACAAASCACATTGAGTCCATGCTTCCCTATCATTTTGTCCCTGTCCCTGCATTCAATGTGATGGAAGTAGTAAGCAKYMTTGTGCACATTGAATATCTTGAGTCTTCCATTCACACATTAATTAAATTTTAATATATGGTATAATTAAATTTAATTACTACTGTAACATGGAAACTAGCTAATAAAAWGACATCACCTTTAAAGAATCCTATTCTATGGACCTACCCCTTAGTAATTCTTGAATTTGAAGAATAGTAGTAACCCCCAAATCGGAGAATTACTAGTACTACTACTACTAGTAGTAGTAGTACCCATTGCAGGTTGACTGTTATTTTTCATATGTCAGTTAAAATTGCACAAAAACATGCAAACTATCAAAAAATTGTTCCTACTGGTGGTGCATGCAGGTGGCATCATGGAAAATGGTAGTACTACTAGTACCACTACTACACGACAATTATTCATGGTGTTCTTCTTAATTTTAGAGCAATTTTGGCATTACTAATCTATGCAATTCAGAGTTCAGGTGAATCTTATTCAAACTAGTCAAAGAAGTATTATAACTAGTCATAACAAAAAAAATGATCTATCTTCACTCCTTGCAAATGAAATTTTATGATTAAATCAAAGTAGTAGTGAAAACAAAGAAATTGCTCTTTCTTCACCACAMCATGCGAATGAAATTTTGTTATCCCAGTGTATGRTAAAGAATCGAAACTGCGAGAGGTCATCTGTATTCTAGTCAATCTGTGACCGACTCCATGTTTTTCGCCCCSAACAACYGCTTCTTTCCTTCTGTTTCATTAAYRTGCCCATTGAARTCATCTAGAAGGTCATTTTCAAATCCAGATTTGAAGAACTGTCKTCTTAAGTAGAAGGTCTTTTTGTCTTACTTATAGAACCTCCGAGGAARAAAAAGAATCCCCAATCTTCAGTCAAGAAACAAGAATTACGAATCAACAGGTTCTTTGAATCGAATCGATCGATGGACTATGGAAGCGTATTTTCGTCTGCTGTACAGTACTTGGTATTATCAACCGTAAGGTGCGGCACTTTTGATCCATAGTGAGTTCCCGGTAGGCGGTAGCACGTAGAGAGCACTAAATAACAAACATTTTTACGAAATAAATAAAAATGTTAAGACAGTAAAATTCTTACTTCAAGTTATTTCCAGAAAGAAAGACGGTGTTTAAAGACGGGGAAATAAAAAAAATGACACTCGGGAAATTGCCTTTAACTTGCCAGCACTGGAATTGTACTTAGTAGCTCTAGACCGTACGGTACGGTATGTACCAGCACTACTGTTTTTTTATCGTACCGGTATGGGACGGCCATAAAAATAGCCGCATCCGATGTATTGTCGTTGTACCGGCAACCCATTCCAGCGACTGCATTGCATTTGGTTTAGACTAGCGCACATACTAGAAGTATCATTTCTGCGTTCCGCTCTATTTGCCACATTACACCCGGCTTCACGACAYCAATCACTGTGGATTGATTGTATCGGTTCTACTCGAAGCACGAGATTGCATCCAATCGGAACAGAATGGGAGGTCTTTGCAGTAAAAACAGCTACCACGTCGAAGAAGACCAATCGYTGGATGTGAGTCGCCATTACGTCGGAYCGTTGGACAAGGTTGACAATGTCGTTAAGCCGTCGAAWTACAGACCCAAGACCGAGCCGATCGGAATCGGAGAAATAGTCACCAATACCGATGACGTTGCTGCCAATGACGATGCCAACGACGCTCCTAGAACCACAGTTCGMATGGACGCTGCCAGCGACTCTGGCAGCGATTCCTAGACGGTATCATGGAATGGAAATACCATGATTTACTGATACCGTGCGAATCCTTTTCGGAGTTGAACAAACCACTATGTCTCGGATATGAGACACGAACTTAAAGAGAAACTTGGAACAGAGATTTCCTGGCTCGTCCGTTTCTAGCAAAATAGATGCGGGCGCAGCGAGTTTCCAAAGATTCAGGATGAATGAGCTATTGCGGAAATATGAAGAGGAAGATTTCATGTTATGTGTGTAATTGTTATGAATGAGGGTACGAAGAGCTGGCAAATGCTAACAGCAGGATGAATAGCTGCCGTTTTGTGAAGAAGACATCGAGGTTAAAGATTCAAGGAARGCAAGGATTAGATCCTAGTAATGAGGTACAGAAAACAAGTGGTACAGTAAGATAAAGAGTACAAGCGGTGTTGGGTAATAGTCTATACCGGTAGCAGCTTTCACTAAACTGGATGATGAATAGGTAGGAGATAGTAGAGAAGATATTGAATACATKTCTCACATTTTAAAGTAAGAAACCAGAAAAGTGAGGTCAACCTTTTTCTTGTTTTTTTTGCTTTTTCTGCCTTTCTTGTAGTACAATTTTTTAATCTTTGTGTAACAAAAGTATTGTTCTGTCATTTGTAAAATTCACAAGAGGAGTGAATGTAATTATTTGAGCTGRGAAGATTGCTCAAATGATTAGCATGGCATATCAAGGGATAGACATTTGTAAGGACAACCRTTCACTGAAAATAGCCAGACAAGAAGGGGGAAACCCCGGATGTCCAGAAATATACTAGTCCCACAACAACAAAACTAAATTTGAGTGCTCATTTTACATGGCCTGAACACAAATCTAAGAATGGCCCTTTTCCTTGGAACATGTTCTCACACCACACATTTCTCWGTATAAGTTTGACCCCATTCTCAGGATCAATGACAAGAATACTAAACAAATTTACAAGCGTCTTYAGTACACACAAAGCATCCAACAAAATGAACACTATTCTGGTACTCCTCCAGTTCTTCTACTAACATTATTCTCAAGATAAATAATCTCATCTCTTTGATCAATTTCCATAGTAGTAGATCTACTACTATGATTCCTTGCTCCATTTTCAACAATTCTTTTTTAGACAACAAACAACTCTATTGAATTCTGGAGGAAATAACTGATACAACATTTTCTATTATTGTGGCTCCAGTGWCTGTTTACATGATAAGTGAACATATGTGCCAAACCATCACACAATCTTGCCTGCCACTCCCATTCCCTGGCCTACATGCAATTTTTCCTCCATATCAATAATTTTCTGGTGTGTTGCTTCTTGATACTGTGGGTCATGGCATCAGTTGCAGTTCCTGTACAGCATTCCAAATCTAGTACACACATACCAATCCTGTTTTTCCAAAGCCAAAATGGCCAGACACACTCCATTCAATATTCATGGCAACTTCATATGTGTCCAACATCACCTTTCATACAGATGAAGGATACATAATTACATGTAAAGAATGGCCTTGTCACCTAGTAAGCAYTCTCTCAGAAGGTTTTCAMATGCTCTTTTTGTGCAGCCTAGCTGATGKTGCATACSGAGCCTTCCCTCCAGGGACGCAATGTGGATACTGCGCTTATTAAAACCAACAAAGTCAAGGTTGTGGAATGCATTTCTCCCTTGGATTGAATGATGGGAGTCATTTTGATAATGCTGTTCAAGGGATGCACCTTCAGGAACAGTTGACTTGGTGAAGTCTGAAGGATGCCACCATAATCTTAGAGGAGAGTACTCTACAAGCAGGCTGCTGTCATTGGATTTTTTCGTCTCTTCTTGTTCTGTGGACATTCTTCAAGCTCAATGTTGGTGTTCTTGTCAGATGTGTTGGCATTGTCATCCTTTTTTATGGTGGGTTGCATTTCTTCTAATTCCCTTGAAATAGAGGCCTTCACTACGTTGCCTTTTGTGTTGATTCCATGGGGAAAGACATTACTAACCTTTGTATTGATTACAAGGGGATGGGGACAGTCCACACAAAAAGTGATTGCACCCTATTGCATGTCTTTGCAATATTTGTTTCAGAATACTCACCCCTTTTTAAAAAGATATCATGCTGAACCCCTTATATTGATGCCATATTGGTTGCATCTGTGCCAACAGCAATCCTGATAGGTTGCACTTTCTCACAAAGCAAGTGAGGTTGGTTGTGCATGGTGGTGAACACTTTGGGTTACTTAGATTTGTGGATCACTCCAAGTTTTTAAACGTCTGTAATGGCCACCTGTTCAAAATTGTGTTATAAATATCAGCTACTTCTGTTCTCTTCWTACCAGCCAAACACACTTTGTTCTTCTAGCCCCCCCAGACCCAATGAACCATCAGTAAACCAATAATGCCAAAAACTTTGTTTATCAAAAACCATAAACTTTGGTCCTGGTTGTCCTAGTTTTTATTGAAATGTTGTTATTGCACTTTCACTTTCATCAGTTGGTTGTGCATTGTGGCTGGAAGAAGTGTGTCTCATACCACCACCACTGTGGAGGTCTCCAGTCCTTTTTCCTTGTGCAAGCAGCCCATGTTACTCAATTTGCAGCAAAATAGACAMTAGAATTACTGTTTGATGTTTTGATTTGATTCCAGCACAGTTCACCAAAAAATGTCAAACCAAAGCAATCCCCCCCACAGCAGCCCCCCCTCCCAAGGAGGGGACCAACCAACTCCGTTTGTCCAATGTCACCTTCAGTAGGGATTTGGTAAAAGCCTTTTGGAACAAAGGATCCCAATCTGATTCCCTTCTCCTCAGCTGGGCATGTCTTGGGTTCAATGAAACCAAAGGAAAAAGGGAAGAAGATTCTACACCCACTCTACAGGGCAAATGGAAGAAGTGGTGCAAACAATCTGGAGTTTTATTATTTTGCTATAAGAATCTTGGCATCCATAAACACCAGGAACACCAATTTCAACAGATATAAGAAAGGGGTAGGAGAGCATTTGCTCATTGAACTTTCAGTGTTGAAGCCAAGCCTTTTGCTCTCCTGATGCTTTACAACAGACTTAATGTGTGGGAGTCCTCCCTCCTGAGAAAGAAAGATGGGTTGGTTCAGTTGGAACAGAAAAATTCTGCAATACAAGAAGTGGAAGGAGAGATGGATGGGCTCTAGAGGGAAAGTTTCTGTTCCACCTGTTGTGCACTGAAATTAAGGAACTCCAAAAGAACCCTAAAATAGGAGATTTTGATAGGAATGCCGTTCTCATATTATGACAATGATGAAAGAAACCAGAGTGTTTTCCATTGGGGATGTGTGTATCTTTCATCCATGAACCATACAGTTACTGGGTGTTAATGAGTACCAAATCAAGAAACATGTTCTCCAAAAACAGAGTAAAAATAGAAGTATGCTGATACATTAGTAGTAGTATTACTTCATTAAATAAAACCTACTAACAGTAGGCGCCAAATATTTGATGGTGGTGATCACACAAAATGTGCAGTACAACTGGTCTAGTTTGTGTGACATAGAAGAATGATCCTCCTAGTAGTAGCTAGTAGTAGTACTACCAGTACTATTACTAGTAGTATGTCCATACTAGTACTGCATAGTACTACTGGTAGCACTATAACCGGTACTAGTAGTAGTAGTAGGGTGGTCTCCACAAAGTACTGCTATCCTCTGGTGTGATAAGTTGAGGCGATGATGATGATGGTTGTTCTTGATGAGAGGAATAGATCTCCTTTTTATAGCCTGCTGTGAAGTGTTGTTGATAGCTCTTTACTAGTAGTACTAGTACTAGTATCAACTATCTAGTACTACTAGTAGTACTGCTACTAGTACCAWACCATCATATGTGTTTTACAACAGCAATACTACTAGTACTAGTACTAGTACTACTAGTACTATGAATATCACCATACTAACAAGAAGAGATTGCTGCCGTACTAGTAGTAGTACTAATAGTACTAAGAAAGTGGTGGTTCCCATCTTTATTTTAACAATGCCATCATTAAGGAAGTAGAAGAGAGTACAAAATCTACTGAGGTAGTTTTCAAATATTCTAGTGGTGCTGAAGCAATTCTGCTGCTTTCTCAGCAGCAGAACAAGAACAAGGGGAATCATGCCGCTGAAAATGTTGTTGAGGAGCGAGCAACAACACTCAGTAGGAGAGCTCTGTACTAGAATTTGTACTGAAAAATTAAGGATGGCATAATTAAATTAACAATGGGAACCACTTTATCTATTTGTGCAGCAACCACTTTGCACACTTCCTCTTATGATATTCGTAGTAAAGAGGGGYTATTCACTAGCTATTTGGGAATTACTGTCCTAAAATCCAGTCATTCGACTAACTCGAATAACTTATCGTGGAAACCTGCAAATGTTAATAGGCTCCCTGCTACGTGTTATTACGTGGTTTACAATAGAGGAGTGAGGTTATTCACTAGCTACTCGGGATTTAGCCTCACAAGGAAAAAGAACATGGATCAAGAATAATCCAATCATCTCAAGCATCGTCATCTCCGGCAACAACAAACCGACGACGGTGTCGGCGAACAAAACC